TTTAGGAATGATAACAGGTTAGGATGGATGTTGTAATAAAGACCTGCTGAGCAGCTCAGAGATTCGCACGCGACTGTTGAGCTTCCTAAAGCTGCAGTACAAAGTCGGTTTATTCACCAAACGCCAGAGGAGAGAATACAACAGGCCCCGCCCCTCTCACAACAAAGCTCCTTTAGCCACGCGCCTTTAACCAGGAGAGCTCTGCTGACTCACATTGATTATGGTTGAAGACAGGAACAACAAAAACATATGAACTGTTTTTGAAGCAGTTCAACAATTTCTTATAAATAAAAATATCTGAATCATTATCATGTCAGCTTCTTCTAATGTAATTATGAAGTAATGTGGATGTAGAGAAATCCATCCATCCATTTTCTATGCCCGCTTATCCACGCAGGGTCCTGGGGGGGCTGGTGCCTAACTCCAGCAGTCTCCAGGCAAGCAGGTGGGGTACACCCTACAGGTTGCCAGTCCACAGAGACACACAGGACACACACACACACACACACACACACCTAAGAGCAATCTAGAAAGGTCTGACAGTCATGTCTTTGAACCGTGGGAGGAAGCCGGAGAACCCACGCCTGCACAAGAACATGCAAACTCCATTCAGAGAGACCACAGGCTGGGATTTGAACCCAGGACCTCCTTGCTGCAAGGCAACAGCGCTAACCACTTTGCATCACATGTTAATTACCATGTTAGTTAATGTGTTAATTAACCCTTAATAATCATTAAAGTAATCATTTATTATGGTTGTGCATTTGCAGCAAATAAGCAATAAGTAACAGCTAACTAATGTAACCCGGTACTTTGGATGTTACTTGTCATGTTCTGCAGGTGGAGGTGGCAGACCATGTGTGGTGGTGGGTTTCAGGAGGCAGAAGAGCAGGCAACGGATGAAAAAATAAAAATGGTTTAATTGTAGACTGGGAGCGACAGGACAAACGAACATGCACAAAACAACAATGATCCGACGAAGACAGCAACGAGGAGGGAAGTATAAATACACAAGGGAATCAGGAACACATGGGCAGAGTAATGAGGGACAGGTGAGAACAATAAGGGTAATCAAGGCAGGAGAGACACAGTCAGGGAGGCCGGGGTGGATCATGACATTACTTGGATGGGCATTAATAAACAATTAATAAATGTCTCACTAATGCTGTACTGTTTGTCACCAGGAAGCACTTACCTGACCTTAGGTAAGGTAAAAACATTGATCCCATTTGTAAACACTTTCTAAATGCTTGATAGACTCCTAAGCATTACTTAACCATAATTAATCTTTAATAAATTATTTTGACCCTTATTGTAAAGTGTAAACATTCATCTATTTATAAACACTTTCTAAATGCCTAATAGATGCATTAGCATTACTTAAGCATTACTTATCACTACCTAACCGTAGTTAAACATTACCAAATGAATTTTGGACCCTTATTGTAAAATGTAAACATTTATCTATTTATAAACACTTTCTAAATGCTGAATAGATGCCTAAGCATTACTTAAGCATAATTTATGATTACTAATAGAATTTTGGACCTTTATTGTAAAATGTAATTCAGTAATAGACTTTAGTTACCTGCTTAATAATGCATTAAATAACATGTTTAGTAATGCTATGTAATGCATAAAAGCAGTTGTTAACACTTTATTTAATGGTTTATTAATGCTTAATAATGCACTAAGTAACATAAATAAAGGGACCCTTATTGTAAAGTGTTGCCAACATGGGTTCTTGGTCTTAGGACCAAGGGTTGGAAAGACACCTTCCATTCAGTGAAAAAACAGATGAATAAAAATAAGAAACAAACTCACAGGTGAAAACATTATCATCACCCTTTCACCTTCTAGCGGTGGGAAGTGAATTTCTGGAAGAAATGGAATATTATACGCTTTATACTGCTTTACGTTGAGGATCTGGAAGATGTTTGGATTCAGGGTTACCGGGTTCCTGCCTCAGAGATGGTGGCTACCTGGTGTAGCAGAAGCTGCTGGCAGGCCTCCCTGAACTCAGAGGAGGTATTTGCCATGCTGTGAAGTCTCAGACGTTGCTTGAGATGAATCACAAGCTAGATGCTCTGAGCAGTAATCTGGCTGCGTTTTCAGCATGTAGAACGGAAACCAACTTGGAGGGAGTTGCAGCTCGGCTGGCTGGGAACTAAACTCCGAATTCAGCTGTTTGGTGCCCTTGAGGTTGGCAAGGACTGAAAGTAGAGAGGAAAATTAATCTGCCAGCTCCAAAACAATTCTGTTATCTGACATTGGCTCCCCTACGTGGCCTTGAAGGCCGAACAATTCAGAACTCCATCTGGAATGGATACATAGACGAAGCTCCACCCACAACTCGTGGATTTATTTTATATGCGCTTTTATGTTTGAGTTTTTCCTGAACCCCAACTCTTCCCCCGTCAGAGACAGCGTGGACCTGTTTTCCCTCCCTGATGTCACCCCATTCCTCATCTCTTTTCCCATCTGCAAAGGAGCGCTGTGACGTGGCTGCTCCCAAAGCCTGCCTGAACCTGTTTCGACTGAGTTTGTTTCTCCAGGTCGGGTTCTGCTGTGAAGTCGGATTTCCATGTGCCAGGACGCTCGCTCAGCGACAACTAAGTTGAGTCTGATTCGTAAGCGAAGCACTTTTGGCCCAAAACACACAAACGTTTAACAAATATTAAGCGAACATTTTGCTGCATCATTCAGCCGCTAACACATTCAGCTAGTTCATGCATTTATTACATCAAGACTGGATTACTGTAACTCATTACTCTCAGGAAGTCCACAGAATGTAGTTAAAAGTCTTCAGCTTGTCCAAAATGCTGCAGCTAGAGTTCTGATGAGAATTAAAAAGAGAGATCATATCTCTCCTGTCTTAGCTTCCCTACATTGGCTACCTGTTAAATTCAGAATAGATTTTAAGATCCTTCTTCTCACATATAAAGCTCTTAATAATCAAGCTCCATCATACATCAGTGATCTGATTGTTCCATACGTTCCTAACCGAGCACTTCGCTCCCAGACTGCAGGTTTACTGGTGGTTCCCAGAATATCTAAAATTAGGATGGGAGGCAGATCTTTTAGTTATCAGGCTCCTCTCCTGTGGAACCAGCTCCCAGCTTTAGTCCGTGAGGCAGACACCTTGTCTACTTTTAAGACTAGGCTTAAAACATTTTTATTTGATAGGGCCTATGGTTAAAATCTGATGTTAGCCTAAATCTGGACAAGTGGGGGAGTAGAGGGAGGTGGAGTATACAGTCGGTAAAGATGGCTCTCCCTTGCCCTGCCTCCAACATGCCTCCATCTAAAAAGGCTAGGTTATCCAGAGTTATCTCTGTAATTATGCTGCTATAGGCTTAGACTGCTGGAGGATACACTGGCCACTTTTCACACTCTACTACTTTCTTCTACAATCTGCTCTTTAACTGTATTATTTCCTGCTATTTCAGCTATTAACTTTATTTTTTCTCTAAGTGTTTTTCTCCCCAGAAGAAGCTACAATGATGTTCTGCTGAGCTGTGGTGGCCTCATAGAGGGGGCCATCGACTAGCACACTGCTGCTAACCACTAAAACATTCTCCCTCTCCTGATAATAACTTTTTACTCTCTTTGACATTGAATGTGCTACTACTAGTTTATCCGTTTAATTATAGATCCACTAGGATAAATACAATAAAGTTTATCTCTCACCAAATAGAATATTTACTAAGAAGTCACAATATAACTATAGACACATTACTTTGTGTGTGTGTGTGTGTGTGTGTGTGTGTGTGTGTGTGTGTGTGTGTGTGTGTGTGTGTGTGCGTGCGCGTCTGCGTGTGTGCTCTGTCTTCTCCATCCTCAGTGAGTCATGGAGGATGGCTGCTTATACTGAGCCAGGATCCTCTGGAGGTTTCTTCCTGTTAAAAGGGAGTTTTCCTCGCCACTGTCGCTATATGCTTGCTTAGTATGAGGATTGCTCGATGCAACCTGCTGGGTTCCTTATATAGGAAACATTATTTCTGATTGGCTTAATGAGCTGACCTGTATTGGAATGTTTATTATGTGAAGTGCCTTGAGATGACTCTTGTTGTGATTTGGCGCTATATAAAGTTGAATTGAATAGTCTAAAGTGGAACATGGAGGCCCTCACCTTTACACTAATTCTAAACAAGATGACGGGACGTTAATTCAAATCTCAGAATCTGCTCAAGAGAAAGTGGTGTCAGCACCTCTAAATAACCACTTAGGGCATAGACGATTTTAATTATTATATTTTCTGAGTTTTTACTAGGGAACTTTCTCTTCTTTCTTGCTACGTCTGGTCAGCAGGATTTGTGGAGAAGTAAAATTGCCTCTTCTGTCTTTTCTGCATCTTTTTTGTGTCACAAAACATAGAAGAACAGCAGATTCGAGTCAAGAAGCTATGATTTCTGCCAGGGTGACTCGTAAATACAAAACCAGTAAAAGAGTCGGAAAAGTCTAAAGAAATCTGGAAGAGCTTCAGAACGTCTGATTAAAACGACTTAGAGGAATGGAAACATGAAGGATCGGTTCACTCATAACTTAGTCTTCATGTTTGTCCCACTGGAGAAGATATAAACATTTATTCTGATCTCAGCCATCCCGGGCCGTGTTCCCTTTCTGATCCAAGGCTTTTATCTGAACACACCTGTCAGCCTGCACGAGCCTCACAGAAACAAAACTCTGACATTTCCCTCTCAGCCTCTGGAGCTTTGTGTGGGCGGTGAGATGAAAAACAGATTAATGGTTCAGATCATGATTAAATCAGCTGCAGAGCATGACACGTCCCCCCCCCCCCCCCCCCGCCCCCGACCTGCTGCAGAAGCCCCAATCATCTACTCATTATTTCGTTCTTAGTGGAAAGGAAGACCGTCTGACTAAACTGGAGGCCGGCGTTGCTTCAACTCCTCATAATTATTGGATCAGATGAAGGGATAAAAGCTTTGCTGCTGAACAGAAGCAGATTCTTTGGTTCTGAGAGGCTAAACAGGTCTTACTCTCCAGAAAGTCCAGCTGACAGGCGGGAGCTTCCAGGCTCATGAAGTTGAAGCCGCGAGTGGGTCTGCAGCGACTTCTCTTAGTGACCGCCTCCCCGGGGTTCAGACCCTGGAGCATGCTGCTCTTCCCAGCACCGTCCAGACCCAGAACCAGAACCTGACGCTTCTCCCGCTCCTCCTCCTCCTGCAGGCAGACGAAGGACCAGATTTACTCGACAACAAGGAATGAGATCAGCCTTGATGTTAACTGTTTTAGACATTGCTGAGCTTTTCAAACCACAGATGAACACCGATGTCCCTGCAGAGGGTTTTTAATAATAAAATCTGTTTTTATTTGGAGAAAAGGTAATTTGGGACGTAGTTCCACAAAAACCCAGACAAAAGGTCAACGCCTTGATGAGAACAAAACTAAGATTAACAGAAAAGTTAAATCTGCTGTCAGTGAATCAATAGGGTATCCATGGTAACCAACATTTGCTTGATAGGATCACCGTAGGAACCACCGGTGGCTCATTAGGATCATCCCGGTAACCAACAATGGCTTACTCAGGACTACAGGTCGACCGATGTTGGTTTCATTGCCGATTCTGATGCTGATGTGCAGGAGTGGACTGGGACCAAAATTCGGCGCTGGCATTTTTACGAATCGTCCGCCCTCCCCATTGGGAGAGCGGTGGGGGTGAGGGGTGTTGCCGCCTGCGGACCTGTCTCTAGGCCGAATGTGAGATCCAATATGGACTGGGACTGTTAAATTACAAGCAGGGCCAGACCGCTGTGACCGGGAGCCCTGGCCTTCCAGATCAGCAGGACATTAGCTACATGCTAACGCGGTAAAACAACTCCTACGTCATCGCTCTACTGCGTTTTTCTTGCTAAAAACGACTGGAAAAACTGTAAGCTTCAGGTTACCATGTAGCTAATGTTCTGCAGATCACCAACTGTGGAGTAGTGTCGGTCCAAGCTGAGCAAGCAGCCCACTTGGCTAAGCGGCCCACCGGGACAGTGCCAGAATGCCAGAATGGCCAGTCCACCCCTGCTGATGTGTATGAGACATGATCAGCCGATGGCCGATACGATTTCTGTAGCCAAGAAAAGACGTTTTCCACTTGCTTGCAAAAATGTCAATAATCACATCAGTTGGTAGACAAAGTTTCTGTAGCTGATTCAGCTTTTGAACACTGAATTTATGCACTGCTCAGTGTTTAAGTCAGAAATCCAAATAAAGTTTAACTGACCAAGTATTAAATGTTCAGAACCGGTAAATAAAAAGACATTTTAGTTGAAAATAATTTTAGAGAACGTTTTATGCAGATGTTATTTAGGAATGACAATTCGTTTGCGGTGCCTTGGTCTGCCTGAATGTTCGTGGCTCCCGGGTCAGGGGGTTTAAGATTTTTGGCGTCTGCCTGATCAATCTCGGTGGCTGCCTGGTGGGGTCTGGTTCTCTGGGCTCTGCTGGGTCCCCAGCGGAGGTGCTCGCCCCTGGATCCCGGGTCGCTGGGTCCCAGGCTCGGCCGGTTAGGGGTTGGGAGGCTGCGGGCGGGCCTGTGGGCTTGCCGCTGATATCTCCCGGGATTCTGCCGGCTGCTGGCTGTGGCCCCCCGGGGCGATCCTCTGTGCCTCTCGAGGGGGGCGGGGGCCTTTCTGGTTGCAGTCTCCTTGGGGTTCCTGTGTTCTGGGGCAGCGCCTGGATCTCTGGGACTTGGAGCTCCCTTCGTCTCCTACACATCTTTGGGGGGCAGCTCTGTGGCCCCTCACACTCTCTATAGAGCTCCGGACATCACGTGACTCTCAGAGTAGACGCCATGTTGGCAGGCAACAAAGGTAAACAAAATGAACGGGATTGGCTTGGATTTTACTTCGTCGGAGTTTACTTCACACTTTAAAACCGAAGAAATCGTTTTATATAGTCAGAAATTAAATAGACTAAACATCTCCGACCCTCACCGTGCCCCTGGGATACTTTTTAAAAACGCCAGAAGCTGTCGGAGCGGACTTCTTACCGGACCTGGCCGGGGCTGGCCCAAGTGGCTGGGGAGAAGGAAGTCTGGGCCTCTCGACGCTACTGCCCCCGCAACCCGACTCCGGATAAGTGGATGAAAATGGCTGGATGGACAAATAACATAGATTTACACGTAAGTAGTTTAAATAGAGTGCTGTGCTGTTTGAATGTATAAACTGAACGCCAAGAGAAATCGCTAGTCTGATTTATTTCCGTGAATAAAATATGTCAGGCAGGAGTGTCTCAGGATCTGTCTGAGATCTGTCTCGGTGAGACAGATAATGGCAATCCAAAGTGCTTTTTATGTGTGATCTGACAATTGATCAACCATTGCTTAAAAATTAAATACAGCTTAGCCGGTTAATTGCTGTGATCATAAAACACGTAAACGTCAGCACGCAGAACTCACGAGGCAACGTTTTATGTGACGTTTACTTGCTGCTGTGAGTAATAAGACAGAAAAAGCCACGCCAAAATAAGTTTAGGAAGCCCACTAAGAATCGTAATAAAAGCATTTAAAATAAATACCACACACAGTTGAGGAAATGTTGGTTTAAGTACCTGATATGAAGTGGTCGCTGCATAAGCGAAAACCTTTTCTCTCGGGGTCCCACAGTTTCATTTTAGCCCGGTCACTAGCGCGTTTTATTAGAACGATCCAACGTTTGCAGCGTTGCGGATCTTGGGGAATCCTGTAGATGGCTCATTCCTTATGTCGTCCGCGTCTGTTCTGCATCCTGGGGCACAACAGGAGTCTACCATATTTCCCGTTTGATTTAGTTTTCTGACAATAACAAATAGTCCAGCTGCGGGCTTCTGCCTGCCAATATGGCGCCGTTTCGATTTGAACTGTTGCATGCCGGGAGAAGTGACGTCAACTCCCGGAGCTCTATTGGATGCTTTTATAGAGAAATCTTACATAAACAAGCACGTGTACACACACAGGTGCTCACATGGTGCTCTCATAAGTATGGACTTGGGAACTTTCAACACATGTCTTAAGGCTGTGGTTGGCACTAAATGCACCATGATTTATTATCATGTGATTGTTCAGTTAAACAATGTTGATTTTATATTTCATCATCAGGCTGACGCAGTGATAGCTTGCTCCTGATGTATTGTTGTGTGTCCCATTGTTTTTCTGTTCTTTCTCTTTCTACAGGTCTAGAAGCAGACTCTTGTTCATTATTGTTTATTTTTGTGGAAACCCCCCACCCCCACCTTTTGTCTCTTCCTTTCTCTTTCACCTCTGACTCCGTGTCTGGTCGGGATTACAAAGCATTCAAAAACAATAACAATAAAGTTTTAAGTATCAGGCATGACATTAAAAGCAAACGCTTTGATGCTCCACCTGAGAGTAAATCTGTAAGGCTTGTCACCAGCATTCAGACATCAATTCTGTTTGCTCCACAGCCAGACAGGACACGGGGAAAAAAAGGAATGACAATTTGTTTAAATTAGGTTCTGAAGTAGCAGGCTGCCCGGGGATGTGCCTGCTTTAAATCGGCTTTACTAAAGCGGTATATCAACATATCGGTCTAAACTACCCCTACTCGGGACACCATGGTTACCAGCTGTGGTGTGATAGGGTCACCACGGTAACCACTGGTCAGTCGTTAGTATAAAAAACATTCTTCAACAACGAACAGCAGGAGGCGCTGATGGTCAGTGTTTTATCCCAGTGATGTGACAAGTTAAAAAAAACGTTCACTTCCTGTTTGTAAGGGAAAAAAATTCCGATCTCATAAAATTGCATCGTTTTAAGGTTTTTATGTTTTACCAGCTCTGGCGTTTGTTTGTGACATCATTAACCTAACATTTAAACATTTAGTGGTGAGTTAAGATTGCAATATACTGAAATATTGCGATCTTTTGTGTTATACTGAATCGATATTTTAATGCAGTGTCAATTTTTTACACAGAATGTACATGCAAACATTTACCGTAATTTTCTGTGTGGCGCAATTCAAACTCCAACTGCTAGGTGGCAGCAGTTTCTACCACCTTCATTCTGATGGAACGAGATCTGGCGATGACACGGCGTGTGTCGTGGAAATGTTTGGCCTGGGTTTTCCAATTAAACCGAGTCTTAAAATTATGAATATCGTCTGAGTTCAGTATCATGTTTATTGTACCGCCAAGTTCTTACACCCTTATTAGCTAGTTATGTTGGCTTCGTACAACGCCGTACCACTATTCTCCTTAATCCATACACTCTGATGTTTTACGTGGATTTTCCAAACGCAGCAGAAGAGGAACGGAGTGAGTGCGTTTAATGCATTGTGAGGCTTTTTCACCATTTATGTCTCAAACAGAATCAAACAGATTTTCTTTGCTCAGTCGTTTAAAAACAGATCAGCGAGTCCATGAACTGGAAACTTCTCACTGTATATTTTACCGTTCAGACTCTCACGCCACCGTCCCTCCGAGGACGCCACCGTCCCTCCGAGGACACGTCTTCTGTTTAAAGTCACACAAGGTTAGCTTCTATTCATGCTGCTGTGGCTCGGAGGACGTTAATTACCAATTCATATCAGCCCTGGAGCCAAAACCCATCAGCCTGCTTATTAAAAACATCCCCCCCCCCCACCCCCCCCCCCCGCCCGCCTCAGCTGATGGACGATAGGCTGTAATGACATTACGTCTTTCACATCTTTCTCAGAATTCCCCTTTCAGAAATTGCTGGATTAGACTGATTCTGCTGCTGAGATTAGCAGCAGCGGCTCCTCGGGTGATTGCGTCTGTGTGTTTCTGTTCCAATGGGAGACGAGCCTCCGACTCGGACTCTGAGTTCAGCCTTTCTGCAAAAGCAGCAAAGCTTCCTCTGAACGCCTGCGATGGACGCATGAGCTCCGCTGGTCTGTCACCTGAGCGATGTGCCGACGAAGCCAAAGGCCAGATTATCAGCTACAGAGATTATTTAAAGCTTCTTCAGCACAAAGTGCATCGATTTCCAGGCCCTTCAAGAACAGGTTGTTGGAAAAGAAAAGCAAAGTGGTTAAAGCAAAGTGCAGAACTTGGCCTCTAATTAGAGCAAAAACAGGATTCATCTCGAATATAATAAATTATATTCCCACATGGGGATTAAAAGGTTTTCAGGAATGTTTTGTGCATCTAAGTAAGAAGAAAACTTTGCTGCTACACCAGAAATGTATCAACCCATGTTTTAATTAGTGTTTCTGAATTGAGAGGAAAGTTGTTTTAGGTTCCAGCTCCGAGCGACTCCCGTTGAAGTTTAATCTGAATGCAACTTTCTACCTAAAATCAGTGAAATGTGAATTTAGCTGCAGTTTGGTTGTTTAATCTGGCTTGTATCAACCCTTCTGTAGACACTTTGTTTTTGTTTTTTTGACACAAATGAATCAGAATAGTCTCTGAGAGTCAGATGAGTCTGGTCTGCAGAAATGTTCAGCCTTTAGAAAACGCTGGCTGCACACGTCACCGCGACATTCTGGCTTCTACATTTAAACAACAGCAGACAGATCCTTCAAAGGCAGCAGATAAGCTGGCGGAGCCTTTTAGAAACAGCTGCCGGTGACTCGAGGAACCAGATTAGAAAATGTACAAAAAGATTTAATGATGAGATTCAAGCTGCAGTGCATCTCGTTAGGGGAGCCGAATGACTGGTTTCTGCCCGTTTCTCCGTCCGCAGGAAATAAATCAGAATACGTCAGAGGGAATGTTTTCATTTTTCCTTTCCCAACAGAAGTGACTCCCTTAAGACCAAAGGGTGAGAAGTGAAGAAACCAAAGGGTCCATATAAGAGGTGGTACCAAGCTTGGTTGTGAGGCCACAAAAGGTGGAGAGAGAGAGACCATGTGGGGTCTCGTGGAGCACCTTTAAGATCTGCTGATGAAACCAGAAATGTTAGTTTAAAATCAGATGAAAGGTCAGAAGCAGGAAAGCAAGAAGGTGTCAAACGTGAAAATAGAATAGTCTTTTAATATCCCGTCATAACATTCAAGGGTTAAAACTATACTTTGACTGGCGTGACAGCTAAAGGGTGGCATTCTTACTTGAAGGTTGCTGGTTAAATTCCTTGTCTTTAGTGTGAATAGATCTGCTAAAACACAACCTGTTTGGTTTAAAAAGCTGGAAATAACCGCTTCTAAAAGCTCTTCACAATAAGAGCCTCGGGCAAATACATAATAAGAATAACTGACATTTATTGCCTAGCATAAAATCTGTTCCACTCGCAAAAATAACAGGAATGATCTGAATGCTAGAACAATGTTTTTTTTTCTTTCTGCAGACTTTAACAGAGCTGTTCACTCATTAAACACCTGAGAGTGTGAGGATGATTGTGTGACAGAGTGAAATTATAATAAGACTCAGTCATACTTCTAAATCTGTTATAAGAGGACATTTTAAGCCCATTAATAAGATAATGTTTTAATACTGTTCATATCTTATCGGTTAATATTTAGTGATGCACCGATATTACATTTTTGGGCCGATACCGATATCACTGTTATGGCCGATAACCGATATTTGCCGATACGATAAACTGGCATTAATGCTTCTAAAATCAGCAGGTTTTGTATAGAATGAAAATGGTTAAAGCTGAATTTACGTTATTATGTAGACACACCACACACATTTACGGTTCTGAGATGATTTCACTCACTGTCACATGACTAGGGATGGGTACCAAATTTGGTACTTTTTAAGGTACCGACCAAATTCCATGGTACCGACTGAGCACCGATTCACGTCTTTTGAAACGGTGCCTCGTTTCGGTACCCGTCCATCATAACGAGAACTTGCCAAGACAGCTGCGCCTGCGCAAGAGCGTTATGTCGTCGCTCGCTGCGAGCCAGTTGTAAACAGAGCAGCATGGTAGAAAGAACGCACGCTAAAGCTTGGGTCCACTTCACTAAATGTGATGGGTAACTGGGTGATGATGAAACCAGCGACAACGATCTAAGTGAGACATCCTCATCTTAATCTGCTCTGGTAGGTAAATAAAATGTTTAAGATAACGTTAGCTTGATATGTTAGCTTCTGTTCCGCTAATGGTGCGTTCGCTTTCTCCTCGGAACTCTGAATTTCCAACTAGAAGAACATGAACGCGCTCTAAAGTTTGGCTTCACTTTACTAAATGCGACGGGTGAATATGAAACCAGCGACAACAATCTAAGTGTGAGGCATCATCGTTTTAATCTGCTCCAGCAGGTAATAAACTGTTTAAGATAACGCTAGCTTGATATGTTAGCTTCCATTACCACCATTGTTATCAGCTAATGGTGCGTTCGCTTTCTCCTCGGAAATTCTAACTTCCCAGTTGGAAAAATCAAATGAAAAAAGACGGCAAAAGGAATGAAGATACACAGTAAATTTAGTTCACAGTAAAGATGTTTGCTTCAGTTTAATTATCAGCTTATAAAACTACAAGGACGATGTTAAAATACAAACAGTTGAATGTTATTTATCGTGATATATATCAATTATGGTTATATATTGAGAAAAATATATATTTCATTATAAAAGAGAATTAAAATAATAAACACTCAAAAGTATCTAAAATTGGTACCGTTAAGTACCGGTATCGATTCCTAGGTACCGGGAATTAGTACCGAATTGATTCAAATGTCAAAGGGACATGACTAAACAAATACACCCCCCCCCCCCCCCCCTTGCCACCATTGTTATCAGCTAATGGTGCGTTCGCTTTCTCCTCGGAAATTCTAACTTTCCAGTTGGAAAAATCAAATGAAAAAAGACGGCAAAAGGAATGAAGATGCACAGTAAATTTAGTTCACAGTAAAGATGTTTGCTTCAGTTTAATTATCAGCTTATAAAACTACAAGGACAATGTTAATTCAAACAGTTGAATGTTACTTATCGTGATATTTATCAAATATGGTTATATATTGAGAAAAATATATATTTAATTATAAAAGAGAATTAAAATAATAAACACTCAAAAGTATCTAAAATTGGTACCGTTAAGTACCGGTATCGATTCCTAGGTACCGGGAATTAGTACTGAATTGATTCAAATGTCAAAGGTACCCATCCCTGCACTACATGACTAAACAAATACACATCTCCTTCCCCCCCCCCCCCCACCCCCACCCCCCCACCACCACCACCCTCTGAAACAGGAAAACAAATCGAGACGATATGGAAAAAATATCGGTTGTTAATATCGGCCCGGTTTTATTTATCGAACCGATATTGATGCCGATATATTGTCCATCCCTGTTAATATTACATTACATAATAAGATTTATTTTGTAGTTCATTGTAATGCCTGTTAGCCTTCTTACCTACTCAAAGAACTACTATTAGTCTCCAGCTACTTGTTAGTTTTCTACTCGATGCCTCGTTAATGTTCCGTTACTTTTCTAGTCTTAAGTGTTTATATGTAATTCCGGAGTTGTGAATGTGCTACAGCTGTCTGGTCCACATAAAGAAAAGTGTTTTCACCAAACCTTTAATTTATTTTAGATATTCTGGTTTATCATTTAGAATGATTTAGAATATACTAAAACAATACTCTGAGCTGAGTTCTGAATCATGACTTCCCTCAAACTCATCTTCATGTGTTTTTATAGCTGCCTTTCTTATTCTGACCCGTTTTCACCACTTTCTTCTGCCAGGTTCTGTCGGGTCTTCCTGTCATTTGTCATCTTCATCTCTTGCATCCTCCTCCTCATCATGTCAGCTGCCTCCTGCTTCTCTTCATCTCTACATTCTCGCCTCACTCACAGCAACTTTTACAGAATAACAGCTGCGGGGCTGAAGGAGAAGCTCCCACCTCCGTGATGCTGCGGTACTCCGCCTGTGGAGACCATACCCGCCGCTTGTAGAAGTAGTTGAGGGCGAGGAAGAGCGCGGAGCCCAGGGCAGCCACGGCGGCGGTCAGGGCGATGGAGATGTGGCGGAGCAGAACCATGTGTGGAGCGACGGGGAGCCGAACCGGAACCGGGACAGTGGAGCCTGAGAGCCGGGCTTCGCTGACTGGCTGCTGCTTCCCCCGGAAGGTTCCTGCACGCGCCACATATTACGAAGAGCGCGTGAAGGAGAGGAGATGCGTTCAGGGCTCCTCGGAAACGACGAGGTCATAGTGTGCACAGCTCCTTGATTATGGCAAGCAGATGAACGCTTTATTATGGTAGCCCAGAAGGTTGCGAATGATTACGACAACTGCAATACAACAACAAAAATATTAAAACGGAAGTTAAAAGATCTTAAATGTATTTAGCATAACTTGGGGGTCTCTGCAACTTTCGTTATTGATTTCACTTTTATTTTATAATTACTCCATGTTGTGTTGCAGCGGGGTTTGTGTCTTTATGACCCTTGTCAGCCACTGTATTAAAAAATAAACCAAACAAAAACGTTTTTTTTTCTTTCAGAGTCAGCACTATTGCTCCAGGTGTTGATGCTTTTCTTGATTTTGATGAGATGTTTTCTGCAGTGGCATTAGGTCCACTTGTGTCTGTACGTGTGTGTGTACGTGTGTGTGTCTTCTCAAACTGCAGTGAGTCACGTGGCTAATCATACTGAGCCAGGTTCTGTAGGAGGTTACTTCCTGTTGCAGAGGAGTTTTTCTTCTCCACTTGTCCCTACATGCTTGCTTAGTTTTGGGATAGCTGTAAAGTGTCTTCTTGACACAAGTCAGTGTCTCAGTCCACTGCTTTTAACTAAGTGGCATAATGAACTGAACCCAATGCACTGATAAGTAGGTTAAATAGGATTGTTTACTTTAGAGAGCCTTGAGACAACTCTTGTTATCATTTGGGTAAACTGTATTCAACAGAATGGGGGTGTGCAGGGAGAAAATGTGAAATATTTCTACCAAAGAAAAAGAAGAAAATATAATTTCTAAAGCGCCTCTCAAGATAAAAATCATGAGGCGCTTCACAAAAAAAAATGTGAAAAAAATGTAAAAAATAATTTAGAAAATGGTTAAAAATTAAATTTAAATGAGCAAAAAATAGACAATTGTGATAAAAAAATGTTAAGAAAGAGAGAAAGTGAACAGGAAAGAGGGAAATCAGTGGATCCTGAGGAAGGTGGAATAGGTAGGGAGAGCAGAACAAGGAGAGGGTGATGAGGGTCACACCAAAACCAGCTTGAAGTGAGTCTTCAGCTGCTTTTTGAAGGAGTTCACTGGGTCCACTGATCTCAGGCTCAGGGGGAGAGAGTTCCAGAGTCTGGGGGCCACAGCAGCAGATGATCTGTCACCTTTGACTTTTAGCCTGGACCTGCTGGGGGTGTTGGGACTAAGAAGATCACCAATGTAAGATGGTGCTTGTGCATGTAAGGCCCTATAGACCAGAACCAGGATCTTGAAATGAACCCTGAAGTTGACTGGCAGCCAGTGAAGCTGGAGGAGAAGCGGGGTGATGTGGGTGTGTTTGGAGGACTTGGTCAGAAGCCGAGCACAGGCGTTCTGAACCACCTGTAGACGGTTCAGGGAGGTTCTGTTCAGACACGTGAAAAGAAAGTTACAGTAGTCTAAGCGTGAGGACATGAAGGTGTGGAGAACTGTCTCAAGTTCAGAGCGGGATAGTATGGGACTCAGCTTAACAACGTTCCTGAGATGGAAGAAGGAAGAGCGAACAAGAGAACTGACATGAGAATCCAGGGTGAGAGCTGGGTCAAAGGTCATGCCAAGATTCCTGACAGAAGGTTTGGTGTGAGAAGCAAGCTGACCAAGAGAGTCTCTGACTTTGGGAACCAGCTTGTCTGGGGCACAGATGAGGATCTCAGTCTTATCTTCATTCAGCTGTAGAAAGCTCCCAGCCACCCAGGTTTTGATAGAGTCTAAGCAGGTGTGTAACAGCTTCAGCTTAGACATCTCATGGGGCTTAAAGGAGATGTACGGTTGGATGTCATCTGCATAAAGATGGTAGGAGAATCCTTTGAAGGAGCTCAGGATGTGCTGAAGAGGAAGCAGATAGAGGAGGAAGAGCAGAGGCCCCAGCACAGAACCTTGTGGGACACCATGGGTAAGGGAGTTGGTGGAGGACCTAAACTTGGAGACGGCCACAGAAAAGGAGCGCTCAGAGAGATAAGAGGAGAACCACTCCAGAGCAGATCCTGATAGGCCTACCCAGTCTCTCAGCCTCTCCAGTAGCAGGTGATGGTCAACAGTGTCAAAGGCTGCAGTCAGGTCCAGCAGGACCAGAACAGAACAGTACCCTGCATCACTGTGAGTCAGAAGGTCATTAGAGACCCTAAGAAGAGCTGTTTCAGTAGAATGAGCTCTACGAAAACCTGACTGGAAGCTATCATAGATGTTATGTTCATCAAGAGCAGCTGTGAGTTGTTTAGCCACAACCTTTTCCAAGATCTTGGAGATGAACGGAAGTTTAGAGATGGGTCTGAAGCTGCTATGGAGAGAGGGTCAAGACTCGGTTTTTTAAGAAGCGGGTGGATTACAGCGTTCTTAAAGTAAGCAGGGACCTGACCAGAGACCAGAGAAGCATTAACTATAGAGAGCACGCTGGGACCGATGGACAGAAAATCACTTTTAAACAAAGATGAGGATAAGACGTCGAGGGGGCATGCAGAGGTCTTCATAGAGTTAACTAGTTTGGTTAACTCAGGCAAAGAAACAGGAGCAAAGCTATCTAGGATGATGGGCCTGGTTGGAGTCGGGAGAGGCAGTGATAAGGCTGAAGGAGAGATGCTAGATCTAACCTTATTGACTTTGTCCACAAAGAAAGACAGAAAGTTCTCACAGTCTGCAACAGAGTGGATGGAGGCTGTAGGAGAGGCAGGAGACTCGATGCTGCTGATGGTGTTAAACAGCACCTTGGGGTTCCCTTTGCTCTGGGACACCAGGTTGGAGAAATAGGAAAGCCTAGGGTCTCTGACTGCAGAGTTAAAGGATGTCAGAAGATCCTTTAGGTGCAGCAGATGGACGTGGAGATGGGTATTTTTCCACAAGCGCTCAATTTTTTTGCATTGGCGCTTCAGGCTGTGAAGGCTGTCATTAAACCAGGTAGTAGGGTTCACTGCTGGAACTGACTGTCATGGTCTGCGTCTGTGTCTTCCCTCATGTGTTCTCCTTCCTCTAGGTTCCCATTTTGGGTCTCATAAGCGTCCTCATGTGTCCTTTGTCTGCATCTCATTTATGTGTCTTCTCTTGTAGCCAAGGCCGGATTAACCATACGGGCAACTGGGCAATTGCCCAGGGCCCACAAACTCTAAAGGGCCCAGGGCAGCAAGGGCACGAGCAAAATACTGTATCTGTAATCTCCCGCTCTATATTAAACTAGGGTGACCGTACATCCTCTTTTTCCCAGACATGTCCACTTTTCACTCTCTGTCCGGGCGTCCGGGGGGTTCTTGTATTGATGAAAATGTCAGTTTTTTCATCCAGGAGCAGGGATCGAATTATGGGGGAGCTGTATATCCTACACATCCAGGGGAGCTGGATAAACGTTTTCTACCTATATTACATCATTTATGGACTATTTTGAGCAGAGAGCACATATAGCGATGATTGTTGGTGTTCAGCGCTCCAGGCAGCTGCTTCCAGTGCACGGTCCATTCTCAAAGTGGCACAACCAAAAAAACACGATCGTTCATGTCCGCACATGTTCTCTACTTTCTGTCTTATCTGTGCCTGAAGCGCTCTGCTGCTGCGGAGCTCATCACCTGTGCTGCGGTGATTTCACCTCACTGACGCATCGAAACGCGCTCTCCACTTTGCGGTCAGGAGATCCCTTTGATCTGCTCAAAGTAACTGATGAGGTGAAAAAGTAAGAATCCAGGCAGCAGATTTTCTGGAGAGTTTAGAGGAGATGCAGGAAAATGAGAGACAGACAGGACAGGAAATAGTTAAATAAAAACAAGAAAACAAAACAAAAATGTAGGTAGATTTATCTCCACTACACGTTTTTACCTGTATAAAACAATAAGTTACACACATGTAATATTTACACATCTGATACAATTCAGATCACCTTCAACACTCAGTCACACACCCAGGGCCGTTTCAAGACATTTTGGGGGCCAAGGCAAAATGACAGCCCCCCCCCCCCCCCCTTGCAGACTGACCAATGAAGAGAGGGCCTCAAGTTAAGACCATCTCCTCATTGGTCAGTCCACCCAAGGTGGGTCAAAGGTTACCCTGAGCGGGTTACGGGATGTCAGGCATTCAAGTATTGAGTATATTTACCGCATATTACAGTAAAATATTCTGTATGTGACCATTTTATGGTGATCCTTGGGTCGTGATGATGGGGCCCTTGAATATTGTTGCCCAGGGTACAACAAAGTGTTAATCTGGCCCTGCTTGTAGCTCCAGCCTTTTTGTCCCCAGCTCAGTGTGTGTGTGTGTGTGTGTGTGTGTGTGTGTGTGTGTGTGTGTGTGTGTGTGTGTGTGTGTGTGTGTGTGTGTGTGTGTGTGTCTGTCCGTCCATCCCCAGTCAGGTCTGGTGTCCTGCTCTGCTCCTCTCCTCATTAGTGCTTTCACCTGTGCCAGTTCCCCACACACCTGCTCCTCGTCTCCTATCATTCCAGTGTATAAAGCCTCTCCTTGTCTCATTGTTCTTGTCTGTCCATTGTTTGTAGTTCTGTCAGTCTTGTTTCTCTGTGTATAACTCAGAGTTTTTTGGATTTCCAGATCTTTATCTGGTTTTTTGGATTTTGGCTCACAGCCTTGGATTTACTTTATTTTTGGCTCTCCTTTTAAATAAAGGATTTTACTTAACCTTCATCCCTGCCTCGTGTCATCCTGGGTACTGCATATTTGAGTCCTCCAACACCATATCGTGACACTGATCTGGTTCTGACAGGACAGATGTTGTCCAGAATGGAGAGGCAGTGCTCGTTAAACTGAGAAGTTAAGGAATCTGGGTCGTTGTCAGAAGAACAGGGTGGATCAAAAGCAGCAGAAAAATTGCTAGCTGTGCTCTCATTAAGAAAACGAGAACTAATCATACAGCGAGCAGGAGGTGGGGACTCAGAAACTAACAAGTTAAAGAAAATGCAGTGGTGATCTGAAATATAAACGTCCTCAGGACAAACACTGT